AGTTACTAGGGAAAGTAACTTTGGTTTTACTCAGAATTTTCTTGTTAATGTGTTGCTTCCATAACTTTGCCAGTCTTCTAGCTTGCTTACTTGCCACAAGTGCACTGTGCCACCTACCAATAGAAAGAAAAAGATAATGTGCATATTTCCACGAGAGAAATCCCACGCCTGGACCGTCATTGACTGCTGCCATGATTCTAGCCTACATCACAGCGTCATGTGCGCCTTTTACATCCAACACAAAATCTGCAGTCGTGGTGCTTTCGATTGTACTCAGAACTCGGAAATTCTGCCTTCTGAATAGGAAGATGTAGGCAACACCAGACTGCAGATGAGCTGCATACAGGGCTGGACTGGGACAAAAAAATCGTCCTGGGCATTTTGACTAGAGACTGGCCCACCATTATAGGAAAAATCATAAAGCCTTTGAATGAAAACAAACGCTGTTGTTATAGTGATGTACACTGTTTTGATGGTATATATGCATCAATCTATCAATCGTTTGTTGTAAGATTCAGATAATTATTTTTTAAAAGCTAGACATTTTAAATGAGAATAAGAAAGAAAAGTATTTCTTTGTGCCCACCTCTCCCTGTTAATGCCCTACCTGGCCCACCTGGCAACACTTTGCTAGACCCGCCCCTGCACAGTTACCAGCTGTCAGCTACCTAAAAAAGGATCCTGGTGTTATTTGTCTCTCAGAAACAGTTCATAACTTCCCTTCAACTCATTCATGTCACCTAAAAGGTTAACCTGTTTCTCCATCACCTGTTCAGCTCTGATGATCCAGTAAGGACATCTCCTGGTTTCATCTTCATGTTTCCCTCTCACCAGATAACCAAACCATATCATGACCAGCAGCTTTTTTGCAGCTGTGGCTCCAGCAAACATCAGCTGATACTAGAAATTAATATTAAATAAATTCTAACAATAGCTGATCAAGCTTAAACGTGCTGCTGTTGTTTAGCGCAACATCCGCTGGTTTCCTCTTTCGGCGCAAAGTGAGCGATAAACTCCGTGATAGCCACCACACGAAGTAACGAGTAACGACCCTATCTAAATCCCAGTAACAAGTAATGCGTTCCTAGTTTTGGCATAATAACTAGTTACCGTGCTCGTTACCACAATAATAACGTAGTTACTGTAACGCGTTACTTAATAACGCGTTAGTCCCAACACTGATATTGTGTATTTTGTTGTACAGTTATTTTATTTTCAACTTTAATTTATATTTTATTCCTTCCTAGTTAAATTTACCCTTTTTAATTTTTCATATTTATTTCCTATCTTATTCATAGCCTTTTCCTTTTTTGTTTTCCTTAGGTCACGAGCAGTTGTCCAAGCATTTCACTACATATCGTACTGTGTATGACTGTGTACGTGACAAATAAAATTTGAATTTGAATTTGATTTGAATTTAGCAGGTGGAATTTTTCTTTTCTGAGGATGGCTTCTTTTACCTGTCACTACAGATGGTCTGTTTGTGTTTTGATTGAGAGCCTTTTTCGGGGCAGCTGAAGAGAAGTCTGTCTTATGGCCAACCTCTGACTGTATCATGGTCATATTGCCCAGCAAAACCCAGTATGCGTATGCAGGTTCATCTGTAACCGTCCTTGTGCCACGGATCAACACTGTTGCTTCTACATTAAACAGAAGAGGGGTGACATGGCTGCAGGCATCCGCGACTCCGGGCACACAGGTGCAGTGGGCGGTTTCAACCTTCCCTGTGATGCTCACAATGACCCATGCCTGCAATGCTGGTTCATTCAGTGCCGTGCACCTGAAACACACACAAAGTTAATTTAAAGACAATACATGTAATTTTAAAAAAATCTTTTTATGTATTTGTTAAGAAATATATTCTAAAACACTTCTTCAGTAAAGACTCAGAGAAGAGAAACACACAGAACTTCTTGCTAGCAAGGGCAGCCTCCAGACTGAGAGACTCGCGCTGAGAAACTGCCCCGGTCTTTTATTTATACTTCAGTGGGTGCTTGTGTGTGTGTGTGTGTGTGTGTGTGTGGGGTCAGAGTGTGACCCCATAAAGACTTCCCTAAACCTGCTGGTCTCGAAGTCCAGCAGTTCATCAAACCAAAAGGCACTTAGACTAAGACAGATATAGCTACGTTAATCCTACCGTAAAACAATAAGACAAGGTACGACCTCTCCCATGCTCCTAGGATGTGGGGGTGAACACCCTAGAATGTTACAGACCTCCTAGGATGAGACATTCTTTCAATATGCCACCAACCATATACTTCTACACACAAATAATTACATGCAGCATTCTACCATATGCAAACTTATATCATTAAAAGATTATACTGACTACTAAGTACAATTTTCCTATTAACAGTATCCATCTATAGAATGTTGCATGTTATATTCTAAATCTGCCTGTTTTGTTTTTGTTTTTTTAATCTGCCAGCAAAAAATGAACCTAAATTATGTAATGCAAGGATGTAATCACTTTCAAGAGGGAGAAAGCATAAAGTTCGACTTTAAGTGACAAATATGAATCACTTAATATGATAAGGAGATTCTGCAGGTCATTAATCAATGTATAAAACAAAAAAAGAATGTATTTTAGTGACACAGGACATAAACACGGAAGCAAGATGTATAATTAGGATTATTTATAATAAATATGAATTAATGATTGCAATTTCTTTAACCATAGAGAATGACTAAATGCTTCAGGACAATGTCACATCAATGCACTGAACTCACTATGTTATCCATCTAACAGAGCCTCCACATGTTCTCACTGTAATTTCCCCCTCATTAATGAATTGATGCTTGCACTAATCTGAAAATACGGGGGAAATTAAATGCATTTTACTTGCAGTACTCAAGCTGACTTACCTTTGTTTGAATGACGGCGTATTGACTAAATCCTCCTTCTCTGGTGCTGTTTTGTAGCAGTGTATACACCTGAGACTGTCACCTGTCTGTCTGTCCTGCACTCTCTCTCTGATTGTGGAATAAAAGTATAAACATGTATTTATAAGTTACACTTGTGTTTGAATCCTGCAGCTTATCACACATTTGATTTCCATGTGTGACAACAGCAAGTGTCCCGAGTGAGGACAGACTGAGGGACCCACTGCTGCACATCATCTGTGAGGCTTTGCACCCCTGATGATCCACCAGGACAAACTCAGCAGTGTGTGAGGAAGAGGAGGAGGAAGAGCCCGCAGCAGCTGACAGATGAAGAGAATAGACAGACTGTTCCCTGTTTGTGAAGGACTGCTAGAAAAGTTTAAACTAACTGTCTGTCCTGAATCAATCTTATTAGGCAATGTTCCCATAATTTTATCATTCAAGTGTTTTCAGTGTGGGAGAAAGTACTCAGGGCTCTGAATTGGGATACAGCCTGTTTGCTTTGATTCGTGGCCTGCCATGTACAGATCATTAAAAAAGCTGATGTATAAAATCACATATAAAAGCAAGTGGAAACCTACAACAGCGCAAGTTATTAGTAAGTTACTACATCTTTCTTCAAAAATAGATAAACAGACCAAATTTATTCTCCACATGAGATGGTATTATAGTCCGTGTGCAGATGGGTGACTGCACTCCAGAGGAGATCCTACCTTTTATACAAACTGCTGTTTACATTCTTTATTGTGCTGGTCTCTAAAATCTATATAAAACACAAACCTGACTTCAGTCTTTCTTTCCCTGCTTTGTCTCAGTCTGGCGTGAACAAGCAGATGCAATCAAGTTTTAATTCACTGCACAGTCTCAGTGTTTCTGGCCACCATCCATTAAGCTGTGCTTGCATGAAGCTCACCATGTTTATTAACCGAGGCGATTGATTGAGAGATCATTTATTTCAAGCATATACGTACATACATACAAAATAGAGCATATATACGAAAAGGAAAATACTGTCCTGTAGTACAACCAGTGTTCAAAAAGCAGTGGGAAGAAGTAACACACGTGTTACCACCGCCTTCACATATTCATAGCTCAGTCATGTAATTGTGCAGCTGCTTCCAAATGTTGTATAACCATGAGAATTTATTACATTGGACTGCATGAAAACCATACCTTTATACATTGATTTAAATTTCTGAATATATTTGTCTTGTCAATTAATTTTAAATTTAAATGTAAAAATTCTTTTCAATAAAGACACTAATGTGTTTGTCTTATAGAGGTTTAAGTTGCAGAGAAATGCCGTTACTGTTTGTTCAACTATTGCAGGACAACCACTGTTTAACTGAAAAGATAAATGTTATGACATTAAATTTTAATGCACATGTGGTAAAACATATTTTTGTTGTAAATCTACACCAACTACCGAGTGAAAGGGTTTTCTGTACTCATTCATGTGCTTTCTATTATTTTATGCATCGCCTTTCTATGGCCACATAAGCCTCTAATTTTGGAGATTTTTAATCCAAGTTTTTACCCATTATAATTATTTAATTACCCTTTTCAGTAAATGAATCATTTAAAGTCCAGTTTGTTTCTCAGTTTCGTGTATCTGGTTTAGTCACACATGTGGAAATGTTCTTGCGTCTCTCATTATTTTTGTAATAATCAGGAAGTGCAGATTGCTGTCACCATTTCCTCTGTCTGATGTGAACCTGCAGTTTATCACCGGAAGGTTTCTCTCGCTGTTTGAGCTGTTTTTTTCTTTTTAAGTAAAAGGACACATACATTACACAATTTGATGACCACAGTTGAGTCCATGTTGATTTTTAAATGCACCTCATGTTGTTTGAAGATTGAAGGATTCCAGCGATTACTATTTTCATTGTTGACAGTTAGTTTCCTGATCAGTTGAGCTTTGTTTTGTGTTTAACTTAATAAACAATGACAAAAAAATGCTCGGAACCAAAGCCTCTGTAATGTTCTCCAGCCGTCTAAAACCCAAAAATATTCCCTTTGCTGTAATCTGTGGAAAATCACATATCTGACAAACTATCAAATGTTCTGTTCATCAGAACAGCTGATTTAATTTCTGTTAATTACCATGTATTATTAGACTAATCAGCATCTCTAACACAAATATGATGTTCCTTAGAAACAGGAATGATGGTTACTGTATCGGTTGTCGGAGAATGTAACTTTCCCTTATGTTCTTTGATGGAGTCTCTGTGGTCAGGTATCTTAGTATAACCCTGAATTGTTGAGCCATCTGGGTTTGGTATGCCGGCGGATATCACCCCATATGCCTTTCCATCTTCACAGACCAATGGACCACCAGCATCTCCCTGGAAGTATTCAGTATTTACACAGTATTTAGTGATTGCTTTGGAAGAGAATTTCCGTTGTTGACCAAAGTTTTTTTCTCGATGTTAGTGTACAAAAATACACTTACCTGACCAGGTTCTCTCTCACCCTCAGAGCAGTACATGTTTGTGTTAGCACACAGCTCATTGTCAGTCAGGGTCACATTTACTTCCAGGAATTTGACAGACATATATTTGCTGTTTTCTGTGCTTCCCCAACCAGAAATGACACATGCTTTTGGCAGAGATCCATCATCACGGTCAGCAAGAGCGATGGGTTTCACTTTGTCGTTCAACTTTGCCTTGGTGCTCAACTTAAGGAAGAGAGAGAGAAAACCCTTTAAAAGATATTAGCACTGTTAACTACAGTCTGTTTTAGTGCTGTATTCAGTTGGGCTCAATTTCAGTAAATCGAAGAGGGAAAAAAGTATAATAAAAATCAGTATGTACAGGATTTCAGTACAACTTGAATGAACAGAGCAACAGCCAAAAAAAAAGAGAAAAAAATTTGGAGATTCTGAAAAAAAGACTAAATTAGAGCAATATGGTGAACTTCAAAAGTACAATCATATTTGTTATATATATACATACCTTAAGAAGCATCATATCATTTTTAATATTAACTGGATCGTAGCCTTTCATTGGAAATGCATTTCTCCCAGGCACATTAACATGCTGTACACCATTCTGATCATGATAATTATGAAGTCCCAGAAAAACTTTGTAGGACCTAAAAAAAAAAGTGTATTATTTGTTTGATAAAAATAATGAGTTTTTGGTCTTGTGTTCACAAGATAAAATATTTTTGGGTCATTTTATCTAATAACCATGAAGCTGCATAAAAACAGATTTCCTCCTCTCAATATGTGACTTGACTTTAATCTTGAGATTACAGATTCCACAGGAGGCCCCTAAACACTAAACAGGTAAAAAAAAAAAAAAAACATAACAGTGTGTTAAACTCACTCGGCTTGGCAGTGTGCAGCAGTCATCACAAAATCCTCATTCAGAAGGAAGCCAGCACAGTGGGCTCTTTGACCAGCAGCGCTGTTCATCTGCAAAAGCACCATGTATGGTCTGCTGTGAGGCACAGCCTCGTGACCTCCAATGATCGCATGGCCTGAGACAAAAGTGAAATAAAGTATATACATACAAAATCAAATGTGTGCGTAAAATATGTAAAGATCTTTACCTTGTTGATGAAAGCTCAGTACCAGTGTCAGTAATGTCAGTTTATAGTAAATAATCATGGTGCGATCACAGTCGAGAGTTCAGCTGAGATACTGAAGAGAAATAATAATCTCTGATCATTTTCACCCTGAAATGTTTCCTATATATTTGTGCTATTTGCATACGCATGCTCAGTGATGTGGCTTTGAACCACATTCTTAAGGAAGGTAAATATCGCCTTACTATTTTACATGAAAAATGTCTAAAAATATGATCCTGTGAACTCATTAACGTCACTCCTAAGTCCATTGAGTTTGCACCAAATTGTTTTTATGGTAAATTAAATTTCATTTTAAACAATAAAATGTTAAAATGAATTTAAATTCAGTTTAAATTCCAGGATTCAATAAAGCATCACCATCTGACAAATTAAAGCTTTAATTAATTTTGATAATATTTTGACTCTTGCGGGATTCCAACTAATGTGTGCTGTCATGAGCACCTTTCTCTATAGCGACCAGAAAAACAGTTTACATGTAAAAACAAACTGAGAGTAAATCACACCTCATAAACAAGTACAAAGAATTTCAGGAAGATCTTGATGCACGTGACGGGACCGAACTGAACTGGAAACAGACAAACAGAATCAAAAATGACAAAGACGATGAACTGGAGGAAACTCAGGACTTAAATACACAGGATGATGATGATGATTATAAACAAAGGTCAGGAGAAAAAAGGAGAGCCTGTATTAAGCTTCAAGCCCACAAAAGGCCAGAACATCTAATAATAACAATTAATGGAAATAATGTGTCCCTCTCAGTGACTGTGAGGACTGCTGCTGGCTGAATGACTGTGATTGTTTACACCTGTGTTTGCCGAGTGTCTCGGACAATTTGCGGTTTGATTGTTATTTATACTCATTTTAGGGTTTTTATTACTGTATTCTTCTTTTTTTATTTTTTTTTTATTTTTTTTTACTGATTATTACACTACAGAATACAATAATCAATCAAGAATATTTTGTTTCAGCCTGTGTGTTTCTGTAGCTACTTTGAGAAATCACAATGAAATCTTCTTGAATTTTAAATCTTCAATAAGGCAGAGACAGCAATAAGACTGAGAATTGCAAATACAGGAGAGAGAGAGTCGACATTACCGCTGACGGCCAACAGAGAAGAGAGCGTGCAGTAATGCAGAGAGTAGGCAAAGGACAGGAGAAAGAAGGGAAAACCTGTGTCAAGGATCAATGTAGTTTGCAGAGGTCAGAAAAGAAAAAAGCGAGAACCTCTATGCCTTTACTTTTTCACTTTTACTTAAATAAAGTATAATAAGTACTTCTACTTTTACTGTAGTATTTTTTAACACTAGTATCTGTACTTTTTCTTAAGTACAGAATGTCTGTACATGTTAACTCGCCCAGTGTCTGTCTTCAACATTCCTGTGGTGTAGAGAGATAACTTAGATAACTTATGGTGCTCAGCTCAGCCAACGTATTAACAGTTAACCACGTCACACAGTGAACAAGCCTTTTAATCATTTTGTTGTTATTATATTGAAATCTTTACTAAAAGCAACAAACTCAGCTGATTTCAGAATGCTTATGTCAATGTAGAAAAAACAATGAGACTTAGCATTTTTAGCAGATACAGTTTTGACTTGCTATACTGCCACGAAGAGAGCATGGGAACCTTTTGATTAGAGTGCACCCAGCTGCTGCTGACTACGATAAACCCTCGACCTCTGATATAATTTCTCTTTGTGGTTCCTTATCTTCTCTTGCATGTCACTACAGGGAGTGCAGAATTATTAGGCAAGTTGTATTTTTGAGGAATAACTTTATTATTGAACAACAACCATGTTGTCAATGAATCCAAAAAACTCATTAATATCAAAGCTGAATGTTTTTGGAAGTAGTTTTTAGTTTGTTTTTAGTTTTAGCTATTTTAGGGGGATATCTGTGTGTGCAGGTGACTATTACTGTGCATAATTATTAGGCAACTTAACAAAAAACAAATATATACCCATTTCAATTATTTATTTTTACCAGTGAAACCAATATAACATCTCCACATTCACAAATATACATTTCTGACATTCAAAAACAAAACAAAAACAAATCAGCGACCAATATAGCCACCTTTCTTTGCAAGGACACTCAAAAGCCTGCCATCCATGGATTCTGTCAGTGTTTTGATCTGTTCACCATCAACATTGCGTGCAGCAGCAACCACAGCCTCCCAGACACTGTTCAGAGAGGTGTACTGTTTTCCCTCCTTGTAAATCTCACATTTGATGATGGACCACAGGTTCTCAATGGGGTTCAGATCAGGTGAACAAGGAGGCCATGTCATTAGTTTTTCTTCTTTTATACCCTTTCTTGCCAGCCACGCTGTGGAGTACTTGGACGCGTGTGATGGAGCATTGTCCTGCATGAAAATCATGTTTTTCTTGAAGGATGCAGACTTCTTCCTGTACCACTGCTTGAAGAAGGTGTCTTCCAGAAACTGGCAGTAGGACTGGGAGTTGAGCTTGACTCCATCCTCAACCCGAAAAGGCCCCACAAGCTCATCTTTGATGATACCAGCCCAAACCAGTACTCCACCTCCACCTTGCTGGCGTCTGAGTCGGACTGGAGCTCTCTGCCCTTTACCAATCCAGCCACGGGCCCATCCATCTGGCCCATCAAGACTCACTCTCATTTCATCAGTCCATAAAACCTTAGAAAAATCAGTCTTGAGATATTTCTTGGCCCAGTCTTGACGTTTCAGCTTGTGTGTCTTGTTCAGTGGTGGTCGTCTTTCAGCCTTTCTTACCTTGGCCATGTCTCTGAGTATTGCACACCTTGTGCTTTTGGGCACTCCAGTGATGTTGCAGCTCTGAAATATGGCCAAACTGGTGGCAAGTGGCATCTTGGCAGCTGCACGCTTGACTTTTCTCAGTTCATGGGCAGTTATTTGGCGCCTTGGTTTTTCCACATGCTTCTTGCGACCCTGTTGACTATTTTGAATGAAACGCTTGATTGTTCGATGATCACGCTTCAGAAGCTTTGCAATTTTGAGACTGCTGCATCCCTCTGCAAGATATCTCACTATTTTTGACTTTTCTGAGCCTGTCAAGTCCTTCTTTTGACCCATTTTGCCAAAGGAAAGGACGTTGCCTAATAATTATGCACACCTGATATAGGGTGTTGATGTCATTAGACCACACCCCTTCTCATTACAGAGATGCACATCCCCTAATATGCTTAATTGGTAGTAGGCTTTCGAGCCTATACAGCTTGGAGTAAGACAAGATGCATGAAGAGGATGATGTGGACAAAATACTCATTTGCCTAATAATTCTGCACTCCCTGTAGTGTACTCGAGCCAGCTTCAGTGAAGCACCTCTGCAAACATCCCTGCACTGAAGAGCATAACACCAGGAAGCCTTTGTTACACTGATCCACTGTTTATCACAGCAGTTTTACAGAAAACCATGTCTTCTGTAGATATTTGTAAAAATATTACATTCCCACTAAACACTGGACGTCGGGTAGACGTGCAGATCATGTCTGTCTTGAGTCTGTTGGTCTTAAAACTTGAACTTTGGACTGAGTAATATTTTTGGATGTCATGTGGACATCTATGACAGGTGCAGGAAATGTACATGATTAATACATTTGTTTATTTACAAACATTGATTGATTGATTGGTAATTTATTTCAACATGTGAACAATATACAAGTACATTTAGAAAAGAAAATAAGAGAGAAAAAAATACTATACAAATTACATACAAAACCCCCCCCAAAAAACCCCGTTCTGATTAATTTACATGTTGAAAGGGAGTGGGAAGAAGTAAACACTTATTTAATCCCACCCCTTTGCCATAAATTATCAGTTAATATTTAGTCAGCTTCCTTACTGATATAATTTGTAATAAAAATAGCGAACAGATTTCTGATATACTATATACTATAATATCACATCATGAGTTTTTTGTTTGTTTTTAAATAGAGACATTCACTTAATTTAAATATTTTCCTTTAACATTAACATTGTTGTTATCAATATGATATATATGAATACAGATATTTATAAACAAACCTGATTTATTATGTGTTAGCCTGCTGAGCACTCTGCACACCTTCACACATAACTGTTTCTGTCCTCCACCCTCTGGAAACACAGGACTACAGAGCCTCTAGAAGCAGTATAAAATCAACATCTATAATGAGTTGGAGTTTGACTCTGAAAAGACGTGAACAATGACCATATTTGGACTATAAATAGCCCGTGCATGGAGGCCCTAATGATGTCAACGCTAGAAGTTTAATAGGCGATGAAATATGCGTGTGGGGAGATGACCTTTGGATAACCAGGAAATGTGGTTAAACAGTTGTAAGCATATTGTGTTCCGCCGGTTCCGTCGTTGTTTTGCTTTCTTCTTGAGTGATGAGTCTCTGAACTAGCGGGTCTGCTGAAGCGCAGATCCAACACACAACACATGCTCAGTGGATAATGAGACTTCTATAGGCCCAGTACAGGACTAGTAATGATAGCTCCTGTTGTCACAGCCCACAGTTCGCTTTTATATATGATACAGCTATAAAAGCGTTTGCGAAGAGGAAGAGAAAAAGTGCTAATGGGTGATATTTTCAGACCAGAAATGAAACTAGATAAAAAGGCTGACTTGCCCATCTATTAAAAGCCTAGAAGAACTGCCAGATACACTTTATGACTAAAACTACATTGCACTGATAAATATTAGCTGCAACTTTGCACTGTGATACAGACACACTTAGACACTGGAAGAAGAGACATGTTTGAACTGGCCTAACACATTTTAAAGTCCTAAAACTTATCTTCAAATTAGTTGCACTTATAAGACTAGATGTACTCCCTACGATCCCGGGGCGATCGCGGCTGAAGAGTTGGCAGTTTGTCTTGTAATTGGAAGGTTGCCAGTTCGAGCCCCGGCTCTGACAGTCTCGGTTGTTGTGTCCTTGGGCAAGACACTTCATCCCTTACCTACTGGTAGTGGTCAGAGGGCCTGGTGGCACCAGTGTCCGGCAGCCTCGCCTGTCAGTGTGTCCCAGGGCAGCTGTGGCTACAATGT